TTCTTCATCCCAAACAGACTCTGTCCCCATTAAACAGTAACACCCTATTCCCCTTTATCTCCAAGCCCTAGTAACCTCTAATCTACTTTCCATTTCTATGAAATTACCGATTCTGATTTTTAAATCAGTTTCACCGAGGTATGATTTACATACAATGAAAGGTTCCTATGTTGCCTATGCAGTTTGATGAGTTTTGACAAATGTACACACCTGTGTGCCTACCCACCATAATCAAGTAGGACATTTCCTCACCCTAAAAACTCTGTCCTTCTCAGTCCACCCCTCACTCAGGTGCTGATCGGCTTCTGACCATTATCAATTAGATTTGTTTTTCCTAGAGTTTCTTGGAAGCACATCCAGCCACTGCCCTCTCCACCACCACGTGTAGGTGTCAGAGCAAGAAGGGCCCTCAGGCTGGCAGTTCCTGTCTTACAGGCAGACACTGAAGCCTCCAGATCTGATGACTGTTTAGCCCAAAGTCCAGGAGAGACGGTGGAGAGCCAGGAGGGCAGCCCAGGTCTGATCCCATTACTGTGCTGGTTTCCTCGCTCCCCCATCTAGCCCAGCTCCTTTGGCTGGTAGTACAGGGCAAACAGTGTATTCTAGCTGTGCCCACTACTCCACGTGACTTAAAACCATGCTGCAATCTCGATCTCCTGTTTGGTTTTCTTTTCTGACCTCCAGAGTCTCACATCCAGGATCTCTGGTCTCAAACTAAACCTGCTTTTTTCTGCTCAAGCATGTTGTTTTATGTACCTTAGTGCAGGGATTGGTACCACCTAGGCCTCAAAACCAGGAGCCTGGGGTAACTCTAGACTACGTCCCCTTCCTCCCATTTCCCTTCAGTCTTAATCTCCTCCGGATGTCATCTTTTAGGTATCTCTTGGCCCAAAGCCTACCTCCCCATCCTGGCCGACGGTGCCCTCAGCCAGACCCTTCACATCTCTTGCCTGAGCCTTCCCGATGGCGTGGGTTGGACTTCCCTCTAAGTGCCGTGCCTGCGGAATGGACGGATTATTTTCTGTTCCTGTGGCTTTGTTTTAAGACTCTGCTGTTTGGTTCTACTCAAAAACAGAATAGTAATAATCATCCTGAAGACACATATTGTACTTTCAAAGCTTGCAAAGCACTTTCTTATTCATGAAATCGTATGATTCTGGGAAGCCTTGGGAGGAGCTGTTCTAATTATCCATATTTACCCATATGAGGGACCAGGGTTTAGAGGGGTTATATGTCTAGAGCCATCTGCTTTGGAACCATCATTCAGACCCAAGTCCCCTGAACTCTGTGTGTCTTTTTTTCTTCTTCTTCTTTCCTTTTCCTCTCTTTTTTTTTCTTTTTTTTATGATTCTTCTTCTCCAAGCATCTGAAGTTCAGCTTTCTTTTCCCTCGAACACTAGAAATCCATCAGGTATTATTTTATATGTTTTGGGTTCCTGCTATGAAGATCAGTATTAAAAAACGACAGCAGCTTGTTATTTATGGCAATATCTGCTGTTAGTAAGGGAGACAGAGCAAACAGTTCCCTATTGTTACAGACGCTACTTTGGCTTGACAGCTGGGAAAGTCTGATAGGCAGTTTATTTACTTAGCCATTAAACCAAATAAATGTTTTCATTTTTCTTTCATCTCCTCAAACGCTAACATTTTGCCCTTAAAATTGGTCCAGCAACACATCAGTGAAGTATAAATTACCTGCCATTCCCACACCAGCCATTATAATATTATTTGGGTTCTTTTTTGCCCCCATTGACCCAGTCTTTCAAAGACACGTGATTCTCCCAGGTGGAAGGGGAGGAGAAAAAGGAAATAACTGAAGATATTTCGCTTTATTGCTAACACAGGAATGCCATTTGAGATGGGCCCCGAAGCTCCCACCTTCAAGGCTGGAGTCCCTTGGTTTCCTCTTACTGTGGTGCAAAGCGGCTTTAACTTATCAACAGATGTCACCCTGCCTACTCAGAATTGTGCAGGTATTCCTAATAAAAAAAACAGCTGGAGATAATGGTTGTGAGGGCGATAAGGAAGACAGGACTCCTGCTTTCCCATTGTATGAAGGCACAGGGGAAAATAAAACCACGGATGGAACCATCCCTGCATGTTATCCCCTCTGAACGCCTGGAAAGGCACTAAGAAATTGCAGTTAGTAAATTTCCAGCTGGTCGGATGGTGAATGGAATGGAGACAGAAAAATCAAACGTGGCTTGCTATTGATGGAGAGGTCCGGAAAGGCTCATTTGGACTTCCGGGTGGGTGGCTGGGGATATGTCTGCAAGGCTGGCATCAGCCCCTTGGCATGCAATTCTTGATAGGCAATTGTAAAACTGCCAGGCTAAGCTTTCAAGGGGAGAAAATTGCTTCATTGCAGATTAGAGTCCAGCCCTCCTTTGGAGCTGGGAGCTGCTTATGATGATTTACATGTAACTATAAGACTGTTGTTTTTTGTTTTGTTTTTTCTTTTGAAGTGAAAAGAGGCCTGTGAGGCCCTAACTAGTGTCATTCTGACTACAGGACAGGGAAGGTCAGAGAGCTAAGAAGTGGGTTTTTCTTTCCTTCCCCACTTCAAAACTGTGTCGAGGCACGTTAAAAGTTAATTATCTGAAGATATAAAGTACAAAGCAAAATCTCCCAGCCAATGGCCTGGGTCCTTATGGTAGAATTTATTTAACAGAAGGTCTAATGTACATAATCCAAGGTAGTGGAGAACCTACATTTATTGAGCACATATGATGATGCTGGCGTTGGTGGTGATGTTAGTGGTGGTGTTGGTGGTGATGGTGGTGACACTGTTGTTGTTGGTATTGATGGTGATGTTGTTATTGTTGATGGTATTGATGGTGTTGGTGTTGGTGTTGGCGGTGATGTTGGTGTTGGTTTTGGTGGTGGTGGTGGTGATGGGATGGTGTGGCAGCTAACATTTATTAGGTGTTTACTATGTGTCAGACATGGTACTAAGAGCTTCACAAACATCACCTCATGTAGTTCAAACAATAACTCTATGAGGAAGCACTCTTTTTATCCTAATTTTTCAAAATAAGACAGAGATAGTATAAAACCTCCTCAGGGTCATAGAACTAGTAAGTGGTAGCCAGATTCTCAACTCGGACAGTTTCACTCTAGAACCCAAATTTTTAAGCTGAGTTTTCAGCTAGGTACTGAGTGTCTGCCTCCATGCTAGAGACTCACCTTATGCTTTCTCAGTTAACATCATGGGTAATATAAGCCTTTTCTAGCAGATGAAGAAACCAAGACTCAACAGGCATTATGGTTCTTGCCCAAGACTTCTTGCTCTTAAGTAGCTGAGCTAGAATTTGAACTCAAGTTCCAAATCCTAAGCTCTTCTCACTACACCATGCTACATCCATTCACAACTCAGCCACGGCTTAGGGTTCTGGATGGAGCAACAAATGCAGAACAGGCTGAAGCCCCACATGACAGTTCAGCTTACATCACTCTCTCAAGCTGAACAGGCTCATAAATATGAGGGTTTGATACATTGATCTGCAAATGGTCCAAGTCATCCTTGTTTTCTAGCAGAACTTCAATTTTAGGATGATGTTTGCTGTTATCCTGATGAATGGCTCATTGCCTCTAGTTCATTCATCAAAATTTTCAAGGCAAGATGGAGCATGTGAAATAACACATGTGCAAGGGGTAGAAAACCTCCTGGAGATTCTTCCCAAAGGAGTCCACCCAGGTTACTCAACTTTTCTCTTTTCTGGAACATGATTTTGCCTTTAACTCGCCAGCTCCCCAAATAGCTTTGCAAGATTGATAGTGTAGATGGGTATCAGTCTTGCAAAGACTGATCATGGTTTTGGATGGCATGATGTATAATTATGTGCTATTGTACTGATCTAACAGGGCAAAATATACAGTATATTAAGTTCTTTGATCATGAACTCTATTAACAAAATACACTCTCAAAGCACTCTTAGCTTTCAATAACCATCCCAGTAACTTACATGTGACCTGAGAATGATTACAAGGGAGCCTCAGAATCCATTTATGAACAGTGAAAACTATTTACCATTTTAATGGTTCTGACCACGCTGTTCAGGACTAAAGAAAAGGAAGCTCTGTGGATACAGCCTAGCAGTCCCCCATACTATGGAAAACTAGGAAAGTATCTGAAAATTAAACACATTTGTCAAGGAGTGACTGAGAAATCATGTCAGGGTAACAAGGTATACTTCTGTCTCCTGAGAAGGTTCACCTCATCAGCAACTCTTTCTCTGGATCAAATCAGATGTATTGAAATTCAAGTGCCAAAAGCCACTTGTAGTAAATGGGAGCATACCTCTCTCAAAGTAGCTGCTGATGGAATCTGAAGTGGCTGGGAGCCAGCATACGCTGTAGTACAGGTATAAACCGCAGAGCCCCGGAGTGAATGCTGCATGTCTTTGGCCTTTGAATTTCCCTTTCCCATTGGGAAGGGGGCAGGGCCCCTTTTGGCTAGACACAATGGGCTACCATGTTCTTACATCTCTATCAGTCTTACTTCAAGCACTACTTATTGTTGCTTCTTAGTCTGGATTCTCAGTGTGTTTGGTTGGAGTGCAGGCAAATGCAGTGACACTTTGTTTATCAGATTAAAACATCGGAACCATGTCTCACTGAAAATTGATCAGGGTGGGCAGAATGTGTCCATCTCGGAATTGATGCTTTCAGAAACTGGATCCACGTTAAGTAGCATTGACCACGCCTCATTCTGTCATCACCAGTCATTGCGAACATATCATTAATAAAATAATAGGGCCATTCCCCACTCTTCACCTCTACCCCTACCTCCCAATATATGTCAAAGGTCATGCATCCATGAAGAAAAATTAGGTGACAAACAGACATCAGGCAAGGAGAGATGATGTGAACATTCAGGGATATGCTCAGCAAGGAGAGATGGTACAAAGATCAGGGATGTAACTTTCAAAGTGAGGAACAGGCAAAAAAGGGAAAGCAGATGGCTTAAGGATGAAGGAGATAAAAGGACAGATACCTACCCAGACCTGTGCTATCTAGCTACCGGCCTGTGGACTTATATTATCAGCACTGGGCTCCCCACTGGGCTCCCCAAATGGATCACTGTTGGATGAGGCCTGTGATCCATCGGGCTAGAACACAAGAAGATAACACTCTTTTTTTCCTTTTCAACAATTGAAAATATAAGACAGCTGGGCACACTTCCATGCACACAAGTAATCGGCTATTTTAATGCAGGCAGCAACTTCAGTTAGAGGATACCGCGCCCACAAATGCGAGAACTTGTAAGAACAACTTAATAAAAGGACAATGGTTTTTAGCTGCTCATTGGAACATAAAGCCCCTTAGTGACCCCTTTAGAACTTAAGCGCCTGAGCCAGCATTCTTTTCTACTTAGGTTTCCTCATGCATTGTCCATTTCAGCTATAGAGGTTTTGCAGTTAAGGAAAAACAAAAACAGAAAGAATAAGCCCGTCACTTACAGCTTCTTGCTCTTCGCTTTTGCTGGGACTTTCAAAGCCCTCTTCGAAGATGTCATCTGTGGTAGGGTCACTGGCGTGGGATGCAGATGACTTGGACGGAGAGCTCTGTCTAGGGGCTGGCGTTGGAGCTGCACAGAGACCATGCAAAGAGATGAAACCCAGTAAGTGCCTGGCTGCAAACATGCGTACCTCACAGAAACCTCGGGGACCTGGTTACGTTCCAGTCAAGTCACAGGACTCCTCTTCCTATCACAGGTAAATCAGGTGAACAGTTTAATATTTCCTTTGTACATATTTATCTTGTTCTCTCAATTCTTTTTTAAGTCTATTTTTTAACTTTATTTTTATTGTTGACACTATTACAGATGTTCTCATTCCCCCTACCCCCCCTTGCCCATCTCCACCCAGCCCCCACCCCGCTTCTCTCTGGCCACTGTTGTCTGTGTCCATTCTTTGGCTAATCTCTTCACCTTCTTCCACCCTCTCTCCCCCCTCCTGTCTCCCTCCCCTCTGACAGCTGTCAGTCTGTTCCATGTATCTCACATTCTTGACCGTCAGGAAGAAGCTGGTCCACATGAATGAAATAAACAATGGTTCTCAAGGGATAGTCCCTGAATCAGCAGCAGCAGCCACATCTGGGCACTTAATAGAAATGCAAATATCCAGACCTACTGAATCAGAGACCGTGTTTCTGCACGCTCAAGTTGAGAACCATACTTTTTTCCCTTCTCTCTTGCTTAACATCATACAATTAATTCAGTAAGAATAAATAGATCAGAGAACAATGATACACATTGATTGAATGCCATCTATGTGCCAGATACTGTCAGAAATGTTACAGACAACATCTGTAACCCACATAACACCTCTTCAGAGTAGGGTTATGACAATTACACAGAAGAGGCACGTGAAGGTTGCTAAACTGCTCCAGGCCACACAGTTGGCAACTGGTAGAACCCAGCTTCATCCCCTGACACACAGTAAATATTTGTTTGATAAACACATGCTAAATAAGGCATGTCTCAGGGATCTGGGAAAATGGCTATAACTGGTGGTCACTTTGAAGCTGGTGCTGCAGTCCTCATTCTATATGGGTGTTCATCTTCTGTCCTGATATTCCCACATTTTCCTTGTCTCATTTGTTCCAGAGGTTTATAACAAATACGCCATTTGAAACTATTCTTCCTTTAAAAATTTCTAATTTGCTATTGAAAATACCATTCACTGGCTCAGACCAAGTGAGGGGTACTGTGGCTTAAGCTGGTAGCTGAATTTCAACACCATTGATAAGCACCTCCTGCCATCACTTCTCAAAATTTACTATAGTCTGGCTGCTTATCAAACAGTGAGTGAATCTCAAACTTGGTGAGTTCCTCTTGCCTCAATGGACTTATATTTAGAATAACAATGCAGTTTGTTATGTGCTAGTGAGCTAGACAGTGCTAGGCACTTCGCATCCACTATACTTTCTAATATAAATATGCTATTGTTTGTTTTTCTGATGAAAATACTGCAGTTTAGAGAGGTGAAGTGATTTTTTTCTCAGGGTTAACACAGTTATGAAAGAGGAGCACTAGGATTTTAAAACATGTTTAATCCTCACTCAAGGATATTTTTTCCATTTATTTCTTGAGAGAGTGGAAGGGAGGGGGGAGGAGGAGAGAAAGATGGAAGGGAGAGAGGGGCAAAGACACACAGAGAGAAACATCGGCGTGAGAGAGACACATCAATTTGTTGCCTCCCTCACACATCCCTGCAACCAAGGTACAAACCCTTGACGGGGAATCAAACTCGTGACCCTTTGGTACTTGAGCCGACACTCTAACCACTGAACAACCGGCCAAGGAAGGAGCACTGGAGTTTAACACTGTCTGACACTGTCTACTCAACTGTGTTATTCTGTTGGAGGTTTACTGTTGGTCTAACTGATCCTCCACTCAAAACATATTAAAGAGGATGCTGATAGAAAAGAGGACAAAAGGCTGGTTTCACTCATTTTCTTTAAAATAAAATATTAAGTTTTTCTCTCATTTAAAAGGAAGTCTGTTTTGTTCCATGAGATGATTATGGAACAAACAAGTTAGCGTAGGTTTAAGTGAGATAAGCTATATGGAAACACTCTAAGTTGTGGACGTTTAATAGTTATTAGTATAATTCGATTCTGACTTGTGTTTGAAGTGTTTTATTGCTTACCAAAGGCTCAGAACCCCAGGTAATAGTTATTAGTATAATTCGATTCTGACTTGTGTTTAATAGTTATTAGTATAATTCGATTCTGACTTATTGCTTACCAAAGGCTCAGAACCCCAGCTGACCTGCCAATTCTGAGAGATTCATACTTACCGAGTGAAATCAATAGGGAGTATAACTAGGAGTTAATTTATGCAAGCGTCTTAACCTTCAGGAGGTTTTATGGACTATCTCCAGCTCTAAAACGCTAGGAGTTAATTTATGCAAGCGTCTTAACCTTCAGGAAAACAGTGATTCTCAAACTGGGGCAATTTCACTCCCAGGGGACACTTGGCAACAGCCAGAGTCACTTTTGACCATGACTAGCGAGCAGGTGTATAATACCACTGGCATCTGGTGGGTGGAGGCCAGGGATGCTGCTTCACACCCTACAATGCACAGGAGAGCCTCCTCAACCAGCATCAATAGTGCCAAGGCTGCCAAACCTGCTCCCAGACACACCAGTAAGTGGGTGTCCTTGGTTTTGTCTGTTTCATTCTCTGCAACCTTCCCCTGTTATAGATACTATGCCAACAGTACAAGACGTGTAGGGATAATGAAGACACACTTCCTGTCCTCAAAGGACTTCAACTCCCCTCTGCTGTTTGTGGCTGGCACACTGAAAGAGAAATATTTGTTTTCCAAAGATGCTTGCTTATTTATGCATGACTGTCATGTCTTTAATATTTCATTGCTTTTATTCATTATTCTTCCTTGAAACATTGAGATGCTCCCCCATGTATATCATCTGGCCTGAGCAGAAGTAGGTTGCTTATCCATTTCAGAACAGTATCCTCAATCTGACTGCAATGACAGTATCTAATTATGTGAACATTAGATTCTGTGTGTGTATGGACAATTCATGGCATTGGCCAAGAAATGATCCGTGTCAGTTGTGACAGTAATGAAAACGTCAAACTCATTGTTCCATGAGCCTTTTCTTTCTCCTTATCAATTGTCAAGGCACAGGCTGAATCTGCAGACACCCTCCCCAAACAGTGTCGACCAAGCACAAGTGTGTTCAAGTGTATCTCTGACTGTGATTGGCTGCACAGTTCTGGTTTCCCAGATGTTTGCAGCAGAAAAGTGAGCTGGGCTAGAACCACTGAATATCAGAAGTGGAATGGGGCACACTGCCTATCACTTACTTTACCTACAACATAGCTGAGGTTAAGAGAAGTCCTACCCACACCCAAGGACACAGCATGTGGTGGAGGAGCCAAGATTAGAGCCCTGGTCCAGAGCTCTGCACAAAACCACTCCATAAAACTACATGCAATAAAACAATATACAATAAAACTATTTCAAACGCTGTGAAGTATACTACAGAATGTTTTAGCACATGTACCATTGAATCCTTTTAATAATCCCAAGCCCAAGATAGATGAGGAAATCAAGGCTCAGAGAAATAAAATGACGTGTGCAGAGTCACAAAACTAGTAAGTAATAAAGCTTCTGTCCAGTTCCCAGTCCTGAGCCTCTTGCAGGCCATCATCTTTTCTCTCTGACTAGCCTCTAAGCTTTGAGTCCCAATCTGGCTTCAGCTATACCAATTGTAGGAGGCCTTATGGTTGCTATATCTCTGCCCTAACTTTTTCCTGATCTTAATGTTCTAATATTTTATCCTTGTTTCTAAAATTATTTAATTCACATATACCATTCATTTTTATTTTAATGAGCCATACAAAGATCCTGTATCATTACTGGGCTATACACAAGTGAGTGAACGAGTGAATAAAATAATGAATGAATGAGCAAATGAACAGAAACCTAAGAGGCAGAGTGATGTGATGGAAAATCAACAGGTTTATATTCAATTCTACCACTTTGTCTATTCTCTTTGTCATTGGATCTCACTTTCATTATCTGTCAAATAGGTCTAATGCAACTTGTCATAAGCATTGTTCTGAGCATAAAAATAATAAATGTAAAGCATGTGGGGAGGTACGGATGTTATAGTAAGAGTAACATAAACAAAGAGTCCTATTGAATACTAAAGGCCCGAAGCATGAAATTTGTGCACGAGTAGGGCCCCTAGCCCTGGATGGTGATTAGGGTTGATCAGGGCCTTCTGGCTGCCGGCCAGGGCCTCCTTTTGTTCTGCACTGCCCCCCTGGTGGTCAGCACATGTCATAGCGAGCGATCAGTCTCCCAGTCAAAGTCCCACAGGGACAATTTGCATTTTATATCTACAGTAATAAAAGATAAACATGCAAATTGACTGTACCTTCACTACGCCTTAAGCCATGCCCACCAGCCAATCAGAGTGACTATATGCAAATTAACCCAACCAAGATGGCAGCCAGCAGCCACGGAGCTGGAGCAAGCAGGAGGCTTGGTTGCCCCAATGATGGAGGAAGCCAAGCTTCCCACCTGCCATGGCCCAGCTCTGAGCTCCACTCAAAGCAACAAAGTTTTAATTATAGAAGGTAAATAAACCCCAGATACCTGCTTTCAGCCAGCCGTGGCCACGGAGCTGGAGCAAGCAAGAGTGGGTTGCCCCTGGTGATGGAGTAAGCCAAGCTTCCCTCCCACCCGCCCTGGCTGGTTCTGAGCTCCTCTCAAGGCTACAAAGTTTCAATTATAGAAGGTAAATAAATCCCAGAAT